GGCGGGGGAGGAGGAGGAGGAGGAGGAGGAGGAGGAGGAGGAGGAGGAGGAGGAGGAGGAGGAAGGCTCACTCGACACTTGAGTGGATACTGTACTCTTCTACCATACTGCACACAGTGCCGATGGGGGACCAGTCTCAGCTTCTAGATCAGATTCGAGGCATCTTCGATGAAAAAGTGGCCCCACTCATCAAGGAGGTCAAAGAGAGGATCGAGAAGAATGAAGTGAGGACAGAAGCAGCCCATACACGCCTCGATAACCACGATGCTCGCCTCAAACGTTTGGAATCGGGAAAGTGTTCGGGATCAGGCGAGTTCATTCCTACATCGATCGAATTCAAAGGGTTCTGCGAATGGAGGGTCCGGAAGTCGGAGGGGGTGTCCAGGGACGAGGCGGAGACCTTGATCACGAAGTTGACTGAGAGCCTCCCCCAGTCCTTGAAAGAGAAGTTGGGCCAGGTACACCTCAGGGGACCCAAGTGCCACAAGTTTAGACTCGACGTGTCCCCAGGGTTCGCAGAGGAGATTTCTGCCGTCTTCAAGGACACCCTGAAGGACCCAGCCTTTCTCCGCAACGGCCAGACCCTGTACACCACCGTTGAGCGTAAACCTGAAGTCCAAAAGCGTTTCGTGGCAGGGGGTAAGGCGAGAGCATTCCTTCGCAGTAAAGTGTCAGGAGCGGGGGGGTCGGCAAACTGCTCATGGGAGCCCGATTGGAAGCTCACCATCACAAACGGGCAGGCGGAGGCGGTCATCGGAGTCGTGAACCCGACCGGCACGATCGTGTGGGACGATCCGGCATGCCACCAGCACATCCAGCAGACGGCGGCCGCAATACAACAGTATTTTGCTAATTTCAAAGATTGAGCTGTGGCAGCAGTTCGACATGAATTAGGTGCATTCTCTATTAGTACTTGGAACACTTGTAGGAAAAGAAAGTCGGCGATATCAAAAATAGCACGGACTTTTCGTTCTCGCATGGGGAATACCGCTGTACTGCTACAAGAGGTGCCAAGATGGGGACCTAGTGCAGGATTTGTCTACCACTCCCACGCCGTGTTGTGCAAGGAAGGCTCGGACTGTGGCTTTGCCATTCGTTCGTTACACTTCCAGCCGTACTGGGCGGCGTGCGTGGTGGGCAATACAATTTTGATTTCTGCGCATATCCTGGACCATTTGAAAGAGGACGGGAGGGCGCAGTCAGTTTTCGAGGGTAGCACTTTATATGTACAACACATCAAACACACATTGCTGGGGAATGCGTGTGACATCATTGTGGGCATGGACGCCAATACCACGTTGCCGGCTTGGCGTGAAGCTTTGACTGGAGATCATGTCTTGGATGCTCCTTGTTCTCACTCGTCTGCCATGGCCGGCGTTGTTTTGAATTGGATGGAATGTTTGGGTGTGCGGGCGCTGAATACATTTAGTGCCCCTGGTGAGGCTGACAGTAACCGGGAACCAGCGGTTCTTTGGACGTGCGGGCGTAAACGACGCATTGGTCGTCGCACCCAAATCGATTTCCTAGCGGTGTCTTCTGGGGTCTCGGGTCACGCGCGCCCCATGGATTTTGCCGAGAAGGTGTTCCAAAAGTCTGATCATAGATTAGTGGGAGGTCACGTGAATATCAGTGAAGCCGTTGTCTTCGAGCACTCTGCACGATTAGCCATGCCATCTTTGACAGGCTGGACACCCGACGATAATGCCAGCCTCGACATCTTCCGCAAACACTGTTCGGAGCTGAATGCCACGTCCTTGGGGGGCCTCCAAAATAATATTCTGACAGCCGCAAGGGCGATTCCGCACTCCACCAAGCATAGTCGGCTGACCCAGGCATGCAAGCAGGTGAATGCGCCTGTAAACGAGGCGCGCAGAGCGGTTGCTTCATCCACTGGGCAGGAACACGTTCAGGCGGTGACCAAACTAAGGCGAGCGCTGAAAGCTGCTAGGAGGGCGCGTTGCACGCGTAAGTTGCAAGCTGTTCGAGCGTGCCGGGCCGAACGACCTGTTCCTCTCGTACTCCGGGTCCGCGGTGAGGCTTCGTTTGACCATCAGGCGCGGCTCCAAGAGGCCATGGATTTCCGAAGAAAACGCTTCGGGAACAAGGATAACGATTTTGCAACACAACACACTAAGCTTCAACATCTTTGGGCCTTGTCTGAGAATTGTAGCTCGTTTCCTACTCTCAGCTTCTATGATGTCTTGCATGGGCGTTGCAACATCAAGCCAGGATCCAGCGCGGGTGCCGATGGCTGCCCTCCGGAGGTATACAGGGCTCTGCCTTTCCAGCTCGTCGTTCGTATATGGCGTCTCTTCCAGCAGCGGCTGCAGGACGTGAGCTCCGAGGACCCCCCGACCTGGAAGGACATCTGTTTCCATGGCCTCCAGAAGACGGCCCAGGCGGACTCGTACGATATGTTCCGTTGGATTTCGTTGCTTGATTGCATGCAGAAGTGGTATTGCAGAAATATCCTTAGACCATTTCGGCTGGGTTTGCCACAGAGTGCGGTGTACAGCCTCGGCTTCAAGAAAGGTTTATGCAGTGCAGACCTTATTTCGACGGCTCGCCAAGTGTTGTACTTAGCGCACCGATGGGGCTTGCCTTTAATAGTTGGGAGTCAAGATGTCGCAACCGCTTTCGATTCCATTGATCACGGGCTTCTTGCGAATATGATGTTGGATCGAGGTGTACATCCTCGGCTGGTCTACGGATTTCTTCGGGAGCTCTCTGGCTACCATGCTTCCCTTTGCATTCCAGGGGCTGGCGAGACTGAACAATTCCATTTTGAGCGAGGCGGCAAGCAGGGCGGTGCAGAGACCCCTGAGGAGTTCACTGTTTTCCTTGACGGCATCATCGAACCTCTTGCTGCAGAGTGGGTTGCTCGCGGCTTCGGTTTTCGAGCGTCGCCTGATGGCTGGGCGCTGACACACCTTATTTGGGCTGACAATATATTTTTGTTTGCAAGTGATATGGCCCAATATCGTACCATGTGCACCGAACTGACGGCTCGAATCGTTGATTTCAAGCTTGCGTGGAAGGCGAACTCGCTGGAGTACCTCTTTGTGGGACGTGGTGCGGACGCTGCTTCTTTCACTGTGCACGCGGGGGATAGCCAGTGGACCTTCCGCGGGGTGCGGGAGATGGAGGTCTTGGGAAACATGCTGGATCTGACAGGCTCCACGCGGAGGAGCGTCGACCACAGGCTGTCTAAAGCGGAAGGCTGTTATTGGGCAAATGCTAGCGCTTTTTTTGTGGAGCCGCGACCCGCCCAGAGAAATGGAGAGCATGGAATTCCGGACCTGCCGCTTCCGCACTGTTTGGCGCGGGGTCGTGGCATCTTTGCAAGCAGACGCTGTTGGAGTCATTGCGGTGGGAACGATAGTGGCTCAGAAAAGTCCTCCGGTTGCGTCGCCGACCTGGGGAAGGGAATCTGGAGTACAAAAGCCGAAGCGCCCTGTTGATTCAGGAATTTAGCTGCAAATTCAAGCATAATCTGCTACATCACCGCATTTTGACCGAAGTTTACAAAGGGGGCGTGGAGGGAGCGGCACCTGCCCCACTCACAGTTCAGTGCGCACTTGCAACAACTTCGATCGTTCCGGGATGCCTCTTGGTGGGACGGCGCGCGGCAAGCTCCGTGGAAAATCCGACGGACCTTAGGGCTCACGCAGGCGACATCCGGACATCCAGCAGCTTTCGAGGATCTATTTGTGGCCGCTTTCGGCACCGAGTGGCGGGCGATGCGCGACAGTTGCCCGTCCAAGCAGGCTTGGATGGAACGTCTGCCTATTTTCGTCGAGACTGTCTGCCAGAAATGGGGTCTGCCGGCGCCTCCTGCGCAGTCGCAGCAAGATCCCCGCGAGCGAGTCGCCAAGAAGGCACGGATCGTGGATTTACAAGTCCGCCCGCGGGACCACGCCGTCGACGGCCCGGAGGTCGACTACGACTGGGGACAATTTCGTGGCTCTTTTGCGTTCGTAGTGGATTGTCAGCCGTTGCAACGGGTGTCGATGGGTTTATGCCCTTTGGCCGATGATTCTCTTGAGCCCGTGTTCCGTAGAATTTGCGATAACTTACATTCGGTGCTAGATGCTGGGTGGTCGCCGCCTCGCCCGTGGAGAGATCCTGTGGTCTGGCACAGACGCGAGCTGAATGTAGTGGCAGATTTTCTCGCGAATTATACCATGGACACTGGACGCACCTGGATTCAAGAATTCGACTGGCCTTTTCCCGGTCATAGCGTTGAGTCGTGCCATCTGGTTGCCCACTCAGACGGTGGATCTCGGGCGCATTCTTGCTCGGCATCAGCTTGGATGATAGAGGCGGGCATGGTTGTTGAAGGGCAGTGGCTATTCAAGCCGATCGCATTGGAAGGGACATTCATGCCTTACTACATATCTTCATTCACAGCCGAGGCCATTGCACTCGAAGAGTGCACGCGGTTCTTATATAAGAACATTGGTCTGCGAGAGGTCAAGAAGTGGTGGTGCTACGTTGCGAGAGCCAACACTGTGAGAATTGCGCGTGTGAGAATGGCGCAAGCTTTTCAGCAGGGGCCACGGAGGCCTAGGAATGTGATGTTGTACAACCCGTGAGAGTTGGAGTCCCCCAGCCCGCGTAGGGCTTCAAGGGTAGCAGAGGAAGAAGAAGAAGAAGAGGAGGAGGAGGAGAATGCGGAGGAGGAGAAGGAGGAGGAGGAGGAGGAGGAGCCGCAGCAGCAGCAGAAGAGGGGGGAGAGACGAGGGATGAACGGCAGAACGAAGAGACGAGGAGGCCAGGGATGATCAAGTTGTGCAGTGTCTCACTCCGGATCCGCTTCTGACGGCCCCGGGCCCCGAAAACGGCCGCGAGAGGCAGAGCAACAAATATATAAAAACAACTCCCCGAACCCCGAAACTTGAACCTGCCCGCCCTCCCTGCTGAGAGGCACGGCGACGGGCGACGGGCGACGGGCGACGGGCGGCGGGCGGCAGGCGGCAGGCGACGGCTCCGCGCCACGCCTCGTGCGAGCCCCGCTCCCGCACGAGTTCCAGGGCCGCTGTCAGCCGCCCCGCGTCGCTCTGCGCGAAGCGCTCGTGGGTGACCGAGGTCGCGGTGGAGACCTGGGGGGGGCGAAGTGAAGATGGAGAAAGAAGAGGTAGGAGGAGGAGGAGGAGGAGGAGGAGGAGGAGGAGGAGGAGGAGGAGGAGGAGGAGGAGGGGGAGGAGGACGAGGACGAGGAGCAACAGAAGGCAGGAAGAGGAGAGTGGAATCATGGGAGGAGGGAAGAGGGAGACCCGAGGAGGGAGACTGCGTGACGACGAGGGAGGGGATCAAGAGTCAAGAGGACGGCGCCGACGGCATCGGCCGCTTCGGGGTCCCCTCAGGGGATGCTCGTCCCGATTGGGAGCCTGTGGAGCCGTGGCGGCGAAGCAGGGGGCGGACATGGAAATGGAAATAGATAAAACGCGAAGAGTTAAAAATGAATTATTGCGTGTCGAGGCCTCTAGCAATCCTCTTTCGCCGAGAGAGCACATTTGGCCAGAACCCCGACTCAATCCTGGACACGTCTTCTCGAGTGGTGTCCGTGGGGCTCCCGGCACACTCGCCGTTTTCAACGAACTGAGTTGAAAGCTGGCAAGGTAACCACAAACAATGCACCATCACAACTCCAAGTCGGTGTGATAAAAAGGCTTGTGTGAGCTGCGAATTCACACCCCAGCACAATGTATGGGCAGGAACCTTAAAAAAGGGTTCCGCCGACGGACTCCAGCTTGAAACAAAGGGACCCCAACCAGCCTACAAGAAGGCATGGCCGATCCATGACAGACTGTAAACCTCTGGCCGCAGAGCGCGCTCCGAACAGCATTGTGCCGCGACCTTGGGCGCAGGATGGAACCGATGATTCTGTTCCTGCGTTCCGAATTTTGCAGAAGATCGGCCGCAATCGCATCCGCATGAGCATGCAAACATCTTTTTCGAATCAAAACTGTTTTGCGTTCGGCGCGAGCGATGCGGGTTCTGCCGGTTAGAGTTATTTCTCCAGCGGCAGTGTCTGCCAACCTGGTTCCCTGAATCATCCAAGGATCCAGAGTGGGATCTTTGCTCCCCTGGTTCGTCATTTGTGAGATGTGAACTGATAAAAAGAACGACAATGTGTAGCGCTCGGTCCGTGCCGTGCAGATGTCGGACGATCGTGGCCCACAAATCGATATCATTAGCGGCCGCACGCGGGCTAATATATTGTTTTTCTCCCATCCGTGGCATGTATCAAGCGTCCACTCGCCATGCATATCGCAGCCTCGAGGGCCGCCAATTCACCGCGGAACGCAATCTGTCTCTTTCCCGGCAACGCCATCTTACTTGTTGTTACCCAGACGGTCGCCATTCCTACCCTGCGTTGGGTAGGCTTTCTCGAATCAGGGCCCCCACTGACGTCGCCACAAATGCAAATTGGTTCCTCACTCGTGCCTCTACCCAGGCTCCCATCACCAGGTGCGCACCATCGCACCCGTTTTGAATGCGATGGTGCGCAGGGACCCATTTCGTTATGTAAGAGCACAGTGATAACTGCACCCACGGGCCATCGAATGTGTCGAGGCCTCATAAGCGCTGTCCAACACTAAAATTTCGCCAACCACTTGCGGCCCAAGTTTGGCCACTGAAGCTCTTGTGCCGCTATCCGTCGTCCATGACTTCAGCCACTCAGCGAGGCTTTCGCGGCCTAACTTGATGGCGGGGTCCTGATCGGGCGTCCACAGGCCCAGCGCTGTGGCAATGCGCCTTCCACGCTTGCTGGTTCCACGCGCCGATGCCGGACGCCGCCGTAAACGTTGCGAGCAACAACCAAATGAACCGAACGGTTGGTGGCCATAGTGTGCCACCGTTTGCGCACTGACACTCTCCAACTTCGACATTTCGGCGTTACCCTGTACTGCGTGGCTGACCGTGCCCAATGCGTAATCTAGGCGCGGCGGCGGATCTGCCCAATCTCTTGCCTGCCGCCAAATCAACCCCAAAAAATTGGAAACTGAAAAACCGGTTGCAACTTGACCGTTCTTGCGCAGAGCCGCCGCAATCGCCTCTGCTAGCATGCGAATGGGCATCAGCAGCACCATTTTTCGGAGACGCTGCCAACTTCGTTCGGGCCAAGAAAAAGCGAGGCATCTGATATGGATCGGACCATGGCACGGAACGCGCGGTGCCCCGATCCCACCGTGGACCTGCTGAGACCATTCGACCGCGTGCGTGCCGTCGTTGATGGATGGGCTGTGGTCAACAGCCGAAGAATGAAACGCGTGCAACATCTGCCACGTCGCGTTCCATTAAGCACGCCGTTTTAAAATGGATCGCGCAACCTGACATTCGGGCGATGTAGAGACGAGTTGCGCAAGTGCGCGCGCTGACGCGCGCGACTGTAGCTCCAACGCCAAAGCCGCTGGGGGGACAATTGAAGCCATATCTAACTCTGCTAATTCTTCCCAACGTACTGTGTCGTGAAATGATCGACTGGATATCCATGATTGCAAGTGCATACGTGATCTTGGGATCACCGCAGACTTCTGCATGAAGGGTTGTGAGAAACGCCTCGCGCAAGACCGAATTGCCAACTGGCGCCGCGCCTCATCTCGCCCCATCAGCAGCTGCCCACGGATTGGCAGCCGCTCTCTGATCATCGCCAAGATCCTGCACTTCATGCGCGAATGTCCAAGGATATTATGTGCAGTTTGCTTTTTGGGTAACACCCCGCCAGCGACCATGGACATGTCAAATCTCGCTTGCTATGATTGAGAACGTCTGCTGACTCTCGCCGACCTTTCACTCGGCAGGCGCTGACCGATCAGGCGTCAACCTGTCAGATCCACGCCCGGCTTTCGCCTCCTCCGCCGTGATCCCAAGCAACTGTTCAATTCTGGCGTCGAGACGTATGCACCAAGAAATCGAATGCCCTACTGCGATCAATTGTGTTTGGCGGCCATGATTTCTCAAAGAAGCTCTGCCTGGTGGCCCACCGCATCAGCGCGGTGATACAACGTGTCCTTTTCGGCAGGAGTGATATCCGAGCTCGGCTCAGGTGCCCCTCGGAGACTGCGAAATAAAATCAATGCTGCTTCAGTGGTCGTAGCCCACTCGCGAAGCTCCATCGTTGATTGAATGAGGGCACGACCTCTAGCTCGATTGGCTCGAGTTGCTGATGCGTCTGCCAGCCGTTGAAGCACGGCGAACGACGCCTTGAATATACACGCCAGACCTTTGAACCATGCGCCCCAAGCTGGGCCAGAGTCTTGCGCCACATGCGAATCGTCTGGGATGTCCGCGCTGGACCGCCAGCATTCGTGGTCCAGGGCTTGCTGCTGCATCTTGCTGTTATCCTTGGCTCCGCGCTTGCGCAGCTGCTCCTCGCCCGCCGTCGCGACCGCCGCCGCGCCCAGCACCCTCGCCAGCAGCCCCGCCGCTATGGGGCCCCTCACCTGCCTCGACCGCGAAGGGGATCGGCAACGGGGCCCCGGCGCCCCGGCGCCCCAGCTCTTGCGGCCCCCCAGGCCCATCACCACTTCGTCCTTCCGGAAGACGGCTGTCCCCGAGGCTGGGTCGAGGGCGCCCATCGGGCCTGCTGCGCCCGCGCAGCGCCAGAGACCGCCTCGCTCCGGGGCCATGGTAGGGCCGCCCGCATGGGCCTCCACTATCTGCGACGCCCTCCTGCGCTGAACCCCAATGCTCGCCGCGCTCGCCAGATTGGCCTGGTCGCGCGCCTCCCGCGTAGAGGGCGGGGATCAGCGGGCACTTCATCTCGATGTAGGCGCGGTCCGCCAAGCCGATCTACCGGCCCCGCGCCCGCGCGTCAAGTCAGCGCAGAGGGTCGCCGCCGTGCTGCTCCCAGCCCGCGATCACGCGCCCCACAGTCGAGAGGGTCCTCGAGCGCGTGGCCCCTGGGTGGACAGCGGCGGGCCTCACGTGAGACATCGCGCCGCGGCCTCGGCCGCGCTCGTCGCGCAGCGCCCGCGCGCCCCCCCCCCCCCGCCGCAGACTCGGCAGCGCCCTCTGGCGTCGTCGAGCCGTCTGACCAACGGACGGTCGTCGCCCAGGGGCGCGAAACCCTCGACCTCGGCTGAGCGGCGCGCGCGGGCGTCGCGACAGCGGGGGCCTCGGGCCCCACGGTCGGCCCAAGCGGCGCCGCCCCACGCGCCGATCGGAGCGCGATCGGCGCGCGCCCCCGGCCATGATGCGCGGCTGCAAAGCAGCGGCGCAACGAGGGCCCCTGCCGTGCCTGGGCGCCAGAACGACTGGACTTGCACCTGTCGCCGGCGACTGCACGAGCGCGCTCCGTTCCTGCGAACCGATCTCAGGAAACGTGTCGATGTCGGACGGCCCAGCTGGCGCCCCCGCGCGACGTCGCACGCGGGCGCTCGACGTCGGCCGTTGGTCGTTGGTCGCCGTCGACAGCGGGGATTGGTGCCCTCCCCTGGCAGAGGGGGTCGACGTGCTTTCCGCTTGACCACGGGGGTTGAAGTACCCCCTTGGGTCGACGACGCCCCCCCTTGACCTCGCGGGCGGGCCGTCGAGGCTGACGACCGCCCGCGATGCGCCCCCATTGGCGCGCAGCGCGGCGCTCAACCATGTGTTCATGGGGCCGCGTCGCTCTGGCCCCGATAGAGCGATTCGCCGGGAAAGCGCCGCAAATGGGAACGAGAGTGATGCTCCGGCACTGACAAACGCCATCTTGGGAACTCAACCTCTTGCTTAGTCGCCGCGGCCTGGTGAACCGCCTCATCGAGACAGCGCCGCGCGGGAAAATGCAGCGGTCAATTTTTCGCGCCCTCTGGAGGCCGCAGCGCGGGACAAGGCCAGGGCCCCCGCGTTCGCGCGGCGTCCCGGGCCCATGCCAGGCGCATCCGCGCTGCGGGGTGGGGGCGCCGCTCGCGCGGCGGGCCCGCCCCGTCCCGCGCGGAGACGCAGCGCGGATGCTGCAGCGGCCGCCGCGGCCCATCGCGGCTCTGGCCCCCATGCTGCATGGGGAACCGTCGGGCGGGAGAGGCGGGGGCCGCCGCTCGCGCGGCGGCCCAGGCCGGCACTTGTTCGGACGCCGCGGCGGAGCCCCACGCCGCGTTAGACGTCGGCAGACGGGCCCTGCGGGGCCTGGCTGGCAGCGGCAACGCGGCAGAGGCGGGTGCCATCAGGGCGCGGCCCGCCGCGCCCGCGGCCCATCCTGCATGGCCACTCAGCACGACGCGGGCGGGAACCGCCGGGCCCGCGGCGGCGCGGCCCAGCCCTGCTTCGGGGCCCGCCAGCCGACGCCCATGCGGACCGCCCCGACATAATTATATCACTGGCACAGCGCGCCCCCGCCCAACTTCCACCCCGCAAATTCCCAAGGCGCGCGTCGCAGGCGGCGCGCGCGCCGCCGTGGCGCGCCAATGCAAATTGCTCGCGTTGGGAATTCTATGACGTAGACGCAGAATGGCTAGAAGTCGCGCAAGCTCGGAGCAACTTACATACGCGGCGCGCGCGTCCGCCTTTGCATTGGCCACGGCAAGGCGGGATGCATAATGCACATGCCCGCGGCAAAGTGACAGGAGGGGGATCACTCGAAAGCCGCGCATTTGGTATGCCGCAAACTTCTCGAAGAGCGCGCGAAACTCTGCGCCCCGGCGCGGAGGGGGAGAACTGCCGCGGTCGAACGTTGGGCTCAATGGTTTGCCGCCTCCCGTCTCGCAACGCCACCATCCGGCAACCTCGCGCGATAGATATCACTCGGGAAGAATGGGGCTCGCTGAAGAGCGCCAACTCTGATCAAAATTCATCGCGAACTTGTTTACAACAGCAAAACTGGACCGGCTATGCAAATGTTCGTCGGTTAAACGTTTAACTGACGTTTGACCACCCAGACATAGCCGTTCTGATATGGACCAGGGGGGGACAAGCAGCGCCTCATGCGGCGGCGGCAGCGGTTGGCGCCGCGGCAAGCGCGGTTGAACCTGCGGCAGCGGCGATGGCAGCCTGCGCAGCAAGTCCCGGGGCAAGCGCGGGGCGATCTTGCGCCCAAAATCGCCGAAGCCACCCACCATCGGGAGGCTGGTGGCGATGTGTCCAATGCTTCCGCCGGGGAATGACAAAAGCCCTTCAGCAGAACAAAACCGGATGAAAGCTGTCGGTGGCACACAGCAGGCACGCGCGCAACGCATCGCGAATGCGCCCAGACGGGAAGCCAAAAGACATCCAAATACGATCAGACGCATCTGGCAAACCAAAAACCGATGAGCGAAACCGAAGGGGGACTGCACCTGCACACTGCGAATGCACATGTCGTGTGAAGCGGTGCAGACTTCGAAAATCAACTTGCCTGGGTAGGCGCTGCTTCAGTTTCTCTCTAGCAGAGGCGTCATTACTGGTCCGGGTGCTGATGTTGCTACAGGAGCCCACCGCGTCCACCGCGTCCGCGTGGTCCTCAGTCATGAGGCCATGAAGCCCATATACAGCAAGAAAAGATGCGTAAACGTAAACTGCCAACGGTCCGCGTGGACTTCTTGGGTCTGCGCTGAAACCCTCCCTGGAGCGCCGAGCGCCCCAGGGGCGGCGCCGCCAGGGGTGCCCAACGCCGATCCAAAAATTCCGCTCAGACCGTCAAAAGGTTATAGTCATGCCGTTTAATCTTTTCCGACCGAAGCACAGATGCCGCTGACCTGTGCCGGGCCGTTGCCAACCTCCATGGGCAGCATGCGTGCGGCTATGGGGTGTGGGATCATGCGGCGGGGGGGGCGTTGGATGTCTGGCCCTAGCAGTGAACAGATCGAAAACAGCCCGTTGACAGCGGAACAAGGGTCTCCGTGCGCTGGCGCCGCTGAAGAAATACCCCGAGCCAGCATGCGTACACAACGGGGGGACAAAGAGGAGGAGGAGGAGGAGGAAGAGGAGGAGGAGAAGCACCAGCATCCGGAGCAAGTGCGGACAGACTGGGGCGCGCAACCGAATCGGGAGCGGGCTGGCTGGGGAAAACATGGAGGGCGGAGCCTCAGAGGGGCGCCACCAGGTGCACGCTGACGACGAACGCAATGAACGTGGGGCCGGGGTGCACGGCGCCCTAGCCCCGCCAAACGGCCCAAGCCCATATATCGTCCACCGCTACTACCGCCGCACGCCGCGCCGGCGGCCTCCTTGATGATGTCGGCGATGCGGTGCGCGTCGTGCGCCGCCGCTGCAGCGAACTCCGCATTCAGCCGCGCCCAGAACACCAGCCCGCCCGCGTCAGCCGCAGCCACCGCAACCCGCGCACCAGGCAGCGCGGGGAGCTCGTCCGCCCAAGCGTCGCCCTCCAGAGGCGAAGGCGGGGCGACCGCGCCCGCGCCATCTGCGACCCCGTCGCCGACGAGGCAGGCGCAGCCATCGCCATCGCCACGTCCGCCGCCGCTGCCACGTCCACTACCTCGACGGCCATCGCGTCGCCAGTGCCCTGCACGGGCCCACCACGAGTGCTGCCAGCGCCGCCGCGCCCACGCCGCCGTCGGCGCCGCCGAAGGCGGGCCGTAGCCTTGAACGCGCCGGGCGCAGGCGGAGGCGGCGCATCGGGAGCAGCGAGCACGGCCACTGCCGAGCGTAGAAACCCTTCGGCCGCTCGCAACAGCCGCACGCCCGCAAGGGAACGCGCGGCGGCCAGCCCAAAGGGCCGCGCGCACCAGGCGAGGGGCTCGCCACGGGCCGCCTCCACGGCGGCGCGGCGACTGCGTGGTCATCCCCGGCGTCGGACACACGGCGAGCGCGCGACGCCGAGGCGGCGCGCGGCTCAGCGGCATGAGTATCGTTCAACCGATCCCCATCCCCAGCGGCGTGGCCTGGGTCCCACTGACCGAGTTACCCCCCTAGATGGGGATATGGGTGGTGTATCGCCAACTGGGGTGGTAATTTGGTGGGGGTCTCGAATGGGATGGGGATGGGGATTGGTTCAAAAGATACTGACGGCAGGGGCCTGATCCAGCAAGGCTCAGCATCCGGAGCAGGAGCAGGAGGCAGCGGATGAAGAGGGAGGGGGAAGAGGAAAGACACGAGAAGCGATAGGAAGAGGGGCGGGGGAGAGCGACGGCAGAAACACGAACATCAGCAGGAGGAGCAGGAAAAAGGAGGCAGAGCAGCAGGATGAGCAGCAGGAGGAGCAGCAGGAGGCACGGCAGCGGCGGGAAGCGGAGGAGCAGCAACAACAGACGTGGGGGGAGGTGTCCGCCGGGAGCTCGCCAACACACAGCAACGGGCTCTACCCGAGCAAAGAGCTTCGCGACTGGAGCATATCTCTCCTCGGGGATGGGCATGGCCAGCTTTAGCAACACCCCCCTCAGATCCGACATGTTCTGCACCAGAGAAAACAACGGCAAAACACAACCACGGACCAGACGCCCCCGGGCGCAAGCCGCAAGCATGGCTGCGCAACATCACCTCGGGAACCGAGAAAGGACGAATCGCTGATCGAGTTGGCAGGGTGGGGTTCGATCAGCCCTCGAACTCCCAGCCCCTGCCAACAGGGGTGTTAGTAAACGGGGTGGTAGCTAAGGGGCTTCTACGAGCGAGTACAGGGCGACAGGGCATTTACCTCGCACTAGTGCGAGACAAATCGGGACGACAAAACCGTCGATACATCATCATAACTCTGGGCGGGGGGGATTACCTCTCGCACTGGTGCACTTGTGCGCGGCAAATGCATTCTTCGTAGGCACAATTGAAAACGCACCCTTGGCTACCACCCCGTTTACAAACACCCCATCTGCAGGGGCTTGGGAGATCCCCAGGCCGTCCCTGGGCGAGGGGTCCATTCTGCGCTCACCAGAGGGTGGGGAGGAGCAGCGCCCGTGCAGCCCTCCGCTGCTACCAAGGACGGAGCGCCGAAGATTGGGAACGCAGGGGCCGTGGCTGGCCAGGGCGAGCCCTGGCTTCGAACAGGGGCCCCCGACCAAAGCCCAAGGAATGGCCCGAGCCCCAAGAACATTCACCACCACCACCACCACCTCCATTCCCCCTCCCTCCTCCACCCTCCTCTCTCCTGGGGGAGGGAGGGGGTGCGGAAGGTGGTGGTGGTGGTGGTGGTGTATACTTTTGGGCGCCGTACGAAAACCAGAGCCCATCCTGAGCCCGACAAGGTCCTTGAAACCCTCGCCTTGACTGCGAGGGGGGCAGCCCGAGGACCAAGAAGCTCCCGATGCGGCTCCCGTCGTCTGGGTCCTCGTCCTGCAACACGGCGCCGCGCTCCAGGAGCGCGTCGATCAGCGCCTGTCGGGCGCCGCCGCAGGGCCGCCGTTAGATGTCGTCGGCTCCACTCGGGGGGGGGGGGGGCTTGGCTCTGAAGTTGCAGGGCTTGCGGGGCTACGGAGGCCAGCAAGAAGTTTGGCATCGGAGAAAGATGTCCTATCGCTTATGCCTCTCAGGGAAACTGTCGACGGACAGTTTCAGGGAATGGAGGTGGCAGCTTCCTCCGCCCCAGGGGAAGAACATAGACTAGGCACCAGCGGTGGAGAATCGGGAGTCGAGTGGTGTGGTTACACACTGAGCTCCGATCATACTCCTGTCTCGCCTTGTGAACCCAGGCGGAAGGAAGTCTGGGGAGGGAGGATTCTGAAAGCTCTCCCTCTGTGCGATGCTTCCCCAGGGCCTCAATGCCTGGACTGACACTCGTTGCGACTGAACTGTTGCTCCTTTCGCTGCGCCTTTGGCAGCCCGCTGCGTCTACCCGAAAGAAAAACGACGAGCGGAGTGGGAGTCGAGGCCAGGAGGGGGGGGAGAAATGGAAGGGGGAGGAGGAGAAGGAGGAGGATCGGAGGAGGGCGAGGAGGAGGATCGGATGAGGAGGAGGATGAGGAGGACGAGGAGGAGGAGGAGGAAGAGGAGGAGGAGGAGGAAGAGGAGGAGGATCGGAGGAGGAGGAGGAGGAGGATCGGAGGAGGAGGCGGGAGAGGGGAAGGGAAGGGATGGTGCGAGGACACAGGGAGGGAGTGGCGAGGGCGAGCGGGGGGCAAAAGGGGGGCGGAGGGTTGCCCAGAGGCCAGGGGTGGCAACCCCAGAAGCTGCGGGAGGGGGGGGCTCTCGGCCGTACACCGTGTCGGTCATCTCTCTCTGTCTCTCCTTCCCTTACGCCACCTTTGAAGGGGCCCAGGAACACGCAAATAGATACACACAAATCCCAGGATTCACGATTTTTTTTTGTTTGATTTTCGTCTCCCCCCCACTTCCTATATTTTCGCATCTTTTCCTGGGATTCGACGATTGATTGTGTCTGTGTGTTTCTTTCCCTCCCGAACCTTCCCTCCCTGGCAGAGCGCCGTGGAAGAAACGCACGCCACCCTCACGTCCACGGGGACCGCGGGGGAGCCGTGGAACTGGCGGTCTTGGGGGAACTTGAAACACCGACACGGTTGCTCCGCAGCCCTCCTCAGGGGTGCGTCCCGACCAGCATTGCCAGGCGAATCCAGCCGAGGCGACGAGGAGTGGGTACATACGGTGAGAGCGTTGGACAATAAACCCTTTGATGAGGAATCCAGGGCCTGGAAGCCAGTGGCAACACCAACCGAGGCTTGGCCATGGATGCCACCGCCGCCCTCATCAGACCGCCACCGTGCCGCTGGGCACAGAGTGGGCGTGTCCCCAAGTCCTTTGCCCAATCCCCTCAGCCTCAGTCCTCACTCCGGAGGAATCTTTAATGGGCCCGGAATCCAAGTTGTGAAATCTCCCGGGGCCTGGCGCGGCTTGGCGCGGCTTGTCGTTCGACTTTTTCGGAGCCAAGGAGATCTCCAAGCCATGCACGGTAGCGCGATGGGCCGAAGGCCCAAGGCCCGCCCCTAGATCCGCCGCCCCCTGTTGATGCATCACAGGGGTGCCTGGCGTGCTGGACTTCTTACGGTTTGGGTTTTGGTTCTTTCTCCAAAAGAACTCCCCCTGGCGCTTCAGCCCGTCCCGCCGGGGTCTCCGGAGGGCCAGGCCCGCAACCGACCTCAGCGTCCACAAAACATTCTCCAAGACGGCTCAAGATGGCCTCCAAGACGGCCAAGATGGCCCGCAAGCTCGCCCAAGATGGTCCAAGATGGCCTCCAAGTCCGCCCAAGATGATCCAAGATGGCCTCCAAGACGGCCCAAGAGGGTCCAAGATACCTCTAAGTTCACCCAAGAAGCCTCCAAGACGGCCCAAGACGGCCCAAGAGGTCTCGAAGAGGTCCTTCAGGATGGCCCGAGGAGGCCAAAATCATTGCTTTTCCTTAGGTTTTTGAAGGATGTGGGCATTTGCCTCTTCTCGGCATTCCGACGGCTCAAGACGGCCCAAGAGGCCGCCAGAATCGCTCCCAAATGGCCCACGAGGCCTCCAAGAGGGCCTCATGACGGCCCAAGAGGCCTCCAAGACGGCCCCAAGAGGGCCCCAAGACGGCCCAAGAGACCTCCAAGACGCCCAAGATGTCCTCCAAGACGGCCCCGAAGCGCCCCAAGAGGACCCCAAGTCGGTTCAGAGAGGCCCCCAAGACGGCTCCCGACGGCGTCAGACGGGCCACGAACCCACCAAGATGGCCGAAGTTGACTCGAAGCTGGCCCAAGACGGCCCAAGAGGCCTCCAAGAGGGCCTCCAGGAAGGCCAGAAAAGGCCAACAACATTGATGTTCCTAAGGTTTTTGAAGGATTTTGAAATGTGCTTCTTTTCGGCCTTCCGACGGCTCGAGACGGCCCAAGAGCACCCAAAGCTCGCCCAAAGATCGCCCAGGAGGCTTCCAAGATGGGCCCAGAACGGCCCAATAGGCCCCCAAGACGGCCCCAAGAGGCCCCCAAGAGACGGCCCAGGATGCCTTTAAGACACGCAAGACGGCATCCAAGGCGGCCCTGGAGCATTCCAAGAGGGCCCCAAATCGGTTCAGAGAGAACCCCCAAACGGCTTCCGACGGCGTCGGACGGACCAAGAGCCCACCAAGACGGCCGAAGATGGCCTTAAGATGGCCCAAGACGGCCCGAGAGGCCTCCAAGAGGCCTCTAGGAAGGCCCGAAAATGCCAATATCATAGATGTCCGATGCGGTGTTTTAAAGGATTGTGGCATTTGCTTTTGTTTCGGCCTTCCGACGGCCCGAGACGGCCCAAGTGCCCCCGAAGATCGCCCAATAGGCCCAAGACGGCCCCAAGAGGCCCCCAAGACGGCCCAAGAGGCCTGCAAGACACTCAAGATGGCCTCCAAGACGGCCCAAGAGCCCTCCAAGACGTCCTCCAAGAAGGCCCGAAAGGGTCAAAATAGCCTCCCGACGGCCAAGATGACCTTCAAGATGCCCACGTGTTCCCCGAAGTCTTTCCACACCGATTCGGGGAACGCATGATCCGATAGCTTGGCAGGTCTGGCCTCAACGTTCGGCCACATAGGCACTTCCAAAAAGGCAGGGGGCGGCGGTGATTCGCCGTAGGCGTCTTCGATCCGCAGCCCCCCGTGCTTGTCACAGGGGTGCCTGGCGTGCTAGATCCTACTGGTTTGGTTTTGCTTTCTTGTTGAACAGAACTCTCCCCTGGGGCTTCGGCGCGTCCCGCCGGCCACCCAGAAGACTGCTCGCGAGGTGGTTCCAAAGGTTTTTCCTGGGATGACCTCCAAGTTCGCCCAAGATGGTCCAACATGGCCTCAGGACGGTCCAGGCGAGTCCCAAATGCCTCGAAGTCCACCCAAGCAACCTCTAAGGAGGCCCAAAACTGCCCCAGAGGCATCCAAAATGCATCCACGACGGCCCAAGAGGTCCGAAGAGGTCCTCCAGGAGGACCCGAAGGCCCGAAGAGGCCAACCTCATGGTGTTCCGTAGGTTTTCGAAAGATTTTGGCATTTGCTTCTTGTCGGCATTCCGACAGCCCAAGACGACCCAAGAGGCCTCCGAGATCGCCCCAAGATGGCCCCAAAGGCCTCCAAGATGACCTCATGACGGCCCAAGACGCCTCCAAGACGGGCCCAAGAGGCCTCCAAGTTCGCCCAAGATGGTCCAAGATGACCCAAGAAACTTCCAAGTCCGCCAAAGAAGCCCCCAAGACAGCTCCAAGATGGCCCAAGCCGGCCCAAGAGGCCCCCAAGAGGTCCCCAATGCGGCCCCAGAGGCCTCCAAGAGCCTCCGGGAAGGGCCGAAGAGGCCAGAATCATTGCTTTTCCTAAGAGTTTTGCAGGATGTTGGCATTTGCTTTTGTTTCGGCCTTCCGACGGCCCGAGGCGACCCAACAGCCCCCAAATATCGCTCCAAGGTCGCCCAAGAGGCCTCCAAGATGGTCCCAGAACGGCCCAAGAGGCCCCCAAGACGGCCCAGAGAGGCCTCGAAGACGCCCAAGACGGCCTCCAAGAAGGCCCTGGAGCACCCCAAAAGGGCCCCAAGTCGGCCCAGAGAGGCCCCCACAAGACGGCGTCCGACGGCAGCAGACGGGCAAGGAGACCACCAAGACTGCCGATGAGGCCCCCAGGAGGGCCCCAACACGGCCCACCTCCTGATCTTCCCCACCATCCTCCCCCAGGTGTTCCCCGAAGGGTTTCCACAACGGCTGGGGGAACACATGGTCCGACAGCTTGGCAGAGCCTTGCCACAACGCTCGGCCACATGGGCGATTCCAGATGGAAGGGGGCGGCGGAGATTCGTCGTAGGCGTCTTCGATCGGGAATTCTCTCGGATCCGAAGCCTCCTGGGCACATTCCTTCACGAATGCCACCACCGAAGCGGTATTGGTAGCTCTACCTCCTCTACGGTAGGGGCTCGACCACAAGAAACCTCCCACAAGAAACCCAGCCCCGAGACCCCAGGCCGTCCATCGATGTTTGGTGTGGGAACGTCGCGCCTTCCATCGCAAAACCATCGAACCCAAGAAACCAAGGGCACCCTGGAGGCCAGCAGGGTGTTTCTTGGCATGGGCCTCCACTGTACGCTTCCGAACGGCTTCAAGATAGCCTCCGAACTGTCGAATACAGCTCCGAGATGCCGCCGAGAGGCCCAGATTCACACATGCTTCCTGGGTTTTCGAAGGTGTTGGCCTTACCGCCTCTTTCGTCTTCCGACCGCCAACGACCGCCCCGCGACGAGACGCAGATCATGCGGCGTGGGGATGCTGAGTCCACTCGTAGGGATGGACAGCATCTCTCGCGAGGGGCAGCCGCCAGGGGAGCAGCGGGGGAGAGGGGGAGGGGAGAGGGGGGAGACGGGACACGGGGAGCAGTGCGCAGTCCAGGCGACAAGGAGGAGGCGCAGAGGCGGACTGCAACCCAGGCTACACGAACACACCTCTAGGCGATCGCGGCCTCGCGGGCGGCGTCGAAGCAAAGAAATGTCAGATCCGGTGCGCGCGTGGCCCCCCAAGGGAATCTCCGCAGATTCCGAGTATACGCACAAGCACACTTCACTGTACCGGTGGAGATGTCGCTACGTGGGCCCCACTTGAACTCATTTTGGCCGTGAGCTCGGCTGGAACGACACACCATGTTCGAGGCCCATCTCGGAGCTCAATTTCAAAGTCGAGCCAACGTGCACGCGAAAACTCGAAAACCTGGACCATGTGAACCTATCGACGTCCGCTCCCTTGCTCTGCTGGTGTGGACCTTTTCCTCGGACTGTCCGAGGTCAGTGCTCCTTCAGAGTGGGTTGCGAGAAGAACGAGGCGGGCGCTGGAGCAGCTCGCACTCAGAACCCAAATCTTCAGAACACACCTCCCTGCTTCCCTGTTTGCTTCCCAGGGTTCGGCTTCCCTGCCCCCCTGGTCTCAGATAATCGCGAGGGCCCCGAAAAAGCTACATAATGCCCCAAAACTTCCCAAGACATTTCCAGGAGAATCTCAAGCCGGCCCCACGACGGTTCACAAGAGCCCAGTGACCGTATAGTCGAGCTCCTGCTCGGCAAAGAACATCAGCTTGGAGGGAGGGGATGGGGAGAGAGGGGAAAGATAGGGAAGGGGCGAGGGAGATGAAATCGGTAAGACGGCCTCCCTCCTCAGGGCGCTTTCGCGAAGAATATGGGCAGCGCCATACTCACACTCTTGGTGTTTCCGCACATTGGGGGCCAGAGTCCAGCCTGTGTGTGTGTGTCCAACCTGAAGAGGGCCATCTGCGTTTCCTCCTCCTCCCTCTTCCATCCTCTTTTCTCTCGTCATCATGCATGGTCTAACCTGGACGCATTGATGTTGCCACCCAGATGTAACCTCTGGCGTTGGGGTCACGCGCTGACGAAAGGCAGACAATTGGGCCCTACGGAATTGCCACATCGCCCCTGCTCCTTCTCCTCCTCCGCCTCGTCCACCTGCTCCTTGTCACTATCCAGCCCCATGGCCTTGAAGTCAGCCTTCCCACCGCTGTGCGGGACCATGCTGCAAGCCAAGATCAGCGGCACGCCATGAGCTGTGTCGTCCCACTCCCAAACGCAGCCGCACACGCACTGCACCTCGGCGCCACTCTCTCAACCGGCAGACGAGAAGAAGATGCCAAGGGTAGACACACTAACCCTTTTGCTTGCTGCACACGTCGCTTCGAAACCTGGGCAACGAAGAACAACGAGCAGTCGCCGTGGCCCGATTTCGAACAGGACCCAAAAGCCACCTAAAAGGCCACCTATTTCGCAACCAAGAAACCCAATAGCCACCTAAACGCACAGGCATGCAACCCTCAGCTTCCTTAATCTCCAGAGGGACACATTGCTGGAACCAGCACGTGCCCCCATGGTGAGAAGTCTCGCACCATCAGCTGTCTGCGGTGGGCTGCGACTCGCCACCCTCGTGCCGAAGGCAAACAGTTACCATGAAACTGTAGCACACACGCGCTGAGGGACAACGATTGGGGGGACTGGCATATGGGGGGGAACATCGCCTTGGAATTGGCGATGTATCGATAGGCCTCCGATCGTGAATTCGCACCTGCCTGGGCAGGTTGGGACTATCGGGCCCCTATCGGCGATCAGTGGGTGATTGGAGGTCGATACATCCCCCCTGTGCCTATCTCCCCATCTTTGCTCCTGACGCACACACACACGCACACTTTGCTCCGTCGGCGGCGAGGCAGAGCTTGCTGCACCAGCGATAGAGCTAGACGGGGGCACCGAAAAGCGAATTGGCCAGCATGCCCCTGACGCACACACACACACAAACTAGACGAGCGCGTTCCACGACTCGCAAGGTAACTGCTCGCCAATGGCCTGGATCCGCCGCGGGGCATCTACGACAAACTACATCGAAGCAGACATGTGTGTGTGTGTGTGTGTTCCGGACGTTTGCGAGTAGGCCATTTGCGAGCAGTGGAACGCGCTCGTCGACAAACACACACGGCGGGACTCGCGTGCGGAACAGCTGGAGGCCACGTGCCGGGTGCGCACGCGAGGGGCCGAGCGCACCTGGTAAACACCAGGGAGCCGGGCGCTGGACGGACAGGTGCCCCGCTCTCGCCTGCAGTCAACCAGTACAGTGAGGATGCGCGATGAGGACGCAAGGGCCTCGGAGGGCCATCTCGAAGCTTGTCGAGCGGGGCACGGCCAGAGAAAGTGGCCAAGGATGGGCCGAAGGGGCAAGGATGCAAGGGTGCCCTTGGGGAGGTTGCCCATCCTTACTATGCGGGTTGACTGTAGACTGGCCGGATCCTGCTTCCTGGCAAGTCTTAGGTCGGACACGTCCTCCCACAGGGGGATTCTGGAGGGGAAAGAAAACATAGTCAAAACATAATCCCAAAGAAGTCAGAAACAGTCGAAACATCGTCCCCATATTATTTTTGGACTATTGTTGAACTTCCCTCCTGTAGAGGGACATGCCCCACTTAAGGCTAGCTGCGTCATGTGGGTCCTGCTTCCTGGCAAGTCTCATGAATTCGCGGCTCGCGCTGCACATAGCGAGAGGCGCGCTGATCGTTAATTATCTGCGCACCTACCTTCGCGGCCCATGCAGGCGACGGGGGAAACCCCCCGAGACACCTGCAGGCCCAGGCAATCCTCGGGGGTTGCCAGAAGTGTCGCTGGCCCAGAAGTGCCCCGGGCTTCTCGTGCAGTCTTGGAGCCCATAGGCTCCCCCTGGCCTCGTGAGGGATGCCTTGGAGCCGCTGGTGCCTCCCTGAAAATTGTGGGCCCATCTTGGGCCAGGGGCACTTCGGAAAAGCGCCCGAAGGGGCCTCGCGACGTATGCAGGCGCCGCCACTCCCCACACATCCGGCCCCCCCTACCTCGGGGCAGGGGGCCTAACAAGAGTCTCACAGGGCCAGTGCGGCCCTGCCAGCTCCTCCTCCTCCTCCTCCTCCTCCTCCTAATTACTCCTCATGCTCCTCCTCTCCTCATCCTCTGGCCCGACATGTTCTAGAGCCAGGCGGCGCAAAAAACTGCGCCATCACAATTTGTGAGCTCCTTGGGTGCATCGTGCCCTCCTCCTCCTCCTCCTCCTCCTCCTCCTCCTCCTCCTCGCTCTCCATGTCGCTATCCACATCCTTCTCCTCCTACACATCCTTGTCACCTACTTCTACTCGTCCTCCTCCCCCCGATGTGTCCTGCGTCCCCCCATCCTGATTGGGGCACGTCTGTGTTCGGCGGGTGGATCGGATCGAGGATCGGCGCGGGGGATCGAGGATCCATGTTTCGGACGATTGTGGCCCTCTTCTTGACCCAGGGGGACCCCTGGTGGCCTCCGAAGACCTCAAAGGACAGCCTCCTCGTCCAGCGAACGACCCACGCAAGGACCCATGTTTTGGACGCGTCTGGCGCTCTGCATGCCCTCGGGAACCTCTGGAAGACCTCCAGGGACAGCCACCTCGTCCAGTGAGCGAGTCGCGCAAGATGGAGGATCAAGGACCAAGGCTTTGGACGTTTCTGGCCCTCAGTACGCCCTGGGAGACCTCCAGAGGTCTCCCAGTGACTGCACCGTCGCATCGCCCAATGATCGGTCCACGCGAGCAAGCTCGCCGGCTGCTGGGCCATCTGAGGACATGGGCGAGCGGATCCACCAGCCAGGAGCGAAACAACGATGGAGGGCTTGAGAGCGGGACGGGACACATGCAACTGCATGAAAGGACCAGGCCGAACCGAGAACCTATACCCGGTTCCGGACCAGACCGAACCAGACCAAAACAGGGAAAATAAAAAACCGAACCGTACCGAACTGAATTCATTCAAAACCGAACCAGGGGCAACCGAACCGAACCAGAACTGGAACCGAACTGAAACCGGACGGCCCCCGAACCAAACCGACGGGAACCGAATCGGACGTCCCAACCCAGCCCACACAGGGACCGCAGGACGACGACCCCCCCCGACCACGCCAAAAGACGACGAGGCTTGAGGCAGCCAGGGCCAAAGCTTGAGCCAAGATGTGCAAGCGGTGACCATTTGGACGCCCGAAATGGGTACGGAAAAAATGGGTACAATGCCCAACAGCAAATGTTGTTCCAAACCAACAGCGGCTGCTGTTGGGCAGGCGGCCTTCTATCTCGAATGGGCACAGGCCGCGGCGGAGTGGACAGCGAATCCTGTTCAAAATGAAACAGGAACTGCTGTTGGGCATTGTACCCATTCTTTCCGTACCCATTTCGGGCGTCCAGAGACCATGATGGACCATGACGAATCTGATGACGTCGGTGGGGGCAGGTCGGGGCGGGTCGGTTCGGGGCGGGGCGGGGCGGATGACCCGCAACGGACCGCACGAGGGCGGGACCCTTTGGCGGCCCCCCGGCGCGAGGGCAGGGGGCCGCCGCCGAGGTGCCCGGGTTCCCGCGGGAACCACCCTGCCAGCAGTACACCGGCCACCCTCGCCATCGCGACACCCCCACCATCGCGACCCCCCCCGTCGCGAGCCCCCCCCGTCGTGACCCCTCCCCGTCGCGACCCCCCCCGTCGCGACACCGCCTGTCGCAACCCCCCGTCGCGACCCCCCTTTATCGCACCCCCCTCCGTCGCGACCCCTCCAGTCGCAACCCCCACGTCGCGACACGTCGCGACACCCCCTCGTCGCGACCCCCACCCGTCGCGACGCCCCCCGTCGCGACCCTCCCGTCGGGACCCCTGCCGTCGCGCCCCCCCCCCCGTCGCACATGTCCCCCGTCGTAACCCCCCCCGTCGCGAGCGATCCCGCCCGTCGCCCCCTTCGTCGCGACCCCTCCCGTCGCGAGCCCCACACGTGGCGCACCCCCCCGTCGCGACCCTCACTGACCCGACCCTCCCGCGTCGCAAACCCACCCTTGGCGACCCCCCCTCGTCGCGACCCCGTGGCGACCCTCCCCGGCGCGACCCCCCCCGACCCGCAAACCCCCCAGTGGCGACCTCTCCCGTCGCGACCCCCCCCGTGGCGACCCCCCCGTCGCGACCCCACCCCGTCGTGACCCCCCGTCGTGACCCACCCCGTCGCGACCCACCCCCCTGTCGCGACTCCCCCCGTCACGACCCCCCCTTGGAGACTCCCCTCGCTGCGACCTCCCCCGTCGCGCGACCCCCCTGTCGCGACTCCCCCCGTCGTGACCCCCTCCATCGCGACCCCCCTATGGCGACCCTCCCCGTCTCGACCCCGCCCGCGGCGACCCCCCCGTCGAACACCCTCCCCGTCGCGACCCCCCCCGTCGCGACCCCGCCCCGTCGCACCCCCCCGTCGCGGCCGGACCCCATCCGTCGTGAACTCGCCACCCGTCGCGACCCCGCCTGTCGCGACCCCCCCCCCTGTCGCGAACCCCCCTTCGTCGCGACCCCCCCGTGGCGATCCCCCCTGTGGCAGCCCCCCCGCCGCGACCCCTCCACTCGCGGCGACCCTCTCCGTCGCGAGCCCCCCCGTGGCGACCCCTCCCGTCGCGACCCCCCCGTGGTGACCTCTCCCGTCGCGATCCCCCGTGGCGACTCCCCCGTCGCGACCTCCCCCGTCGCGCCCCCCCCCGTCGCAACCCTCCCCCTCGCGACCCCCTCCGTCGCCCCCCGCCCGTGGCGGCCCCCCTTCGGCGGACTCGTCGGGAGCCCCATCAGGGGCCACCTTAGGGGCCCCCCCGTCGTCGTCGTCGGCGGCGGCGGCTGCCCTCTCGGGAGAGGGAGGCGGGGGCAACCATTACGAGGCGGATCCAGCCGCGGAAGCCCAGAGCGTCAGTCAACAGAAGGCCCCCGAACCCTCTGGGGCCGCACCTCGCGGGGCCGCGGCCCTGCTCCTCGCTCCTTCCGCTTCTCCCCCTCCTCCTCCTCTTCTTCCTCCTCCTCCTTCTCCTCTTCCTCATCCTTCTCCTCTTCCTCCTCCTCCTTCTCCTCCTCTTCCTCCTCCTCCTCCTTCTCCTCCTTCTCCTCCTCCTCCTCCTTCTCCTCCTCCTCCTCCTCCTTGTTGTTGTTGTTGTTGTTGTTGTTGTTGTTGTTGCTCAGAATGGGCCGTCGCTTACGCAGACGGGGCGCCCAACGTCGCCAATCGCACCGAACCAGACCAGCCGGACCGGTCCGAACCAAACCGTCAATCGAACCGAACCGGTGGGACCGACCCGCGGAAAAAAAAACGAACCGAACCGGAGCCGGACCCGAACCGAACGGGCCGAAACCGAACCGGAGTCAAACCGAACTGGCCAAGCAAAACCGAACCGCCTCAGAACCAGACCGAACCGAACCGAGCCGATCCCTTCATGCAACTGTCGCATAAATCAGACGGGGTGTTCAAATCTTCCACATGCAGCAGCGGATAAACCGCTATTCCGCCTCCTCGTTATGGCGAATGCCCCCACGCAGAAATCAGACGCAGAACAGCAAACTGGTCGGAACATGCGGTTGGCTTCCTTGGACAAGGAAACCGTGAAACAGGCGAGCTCCGATGTTAACCACCATGGAGATGTGACAGGGGTTTGGTTGGACACCGTCTCATGCTGCCACTGCGCAGGCAGATCCCCAAGCATAGATGTAGAAAATCGCCAGGGTGTGTCACTCTGACGTGCAATGCGTGTGGTTCACTCACCATCGTCGTGCTCACCCACGTTCTTATCACCATCAACAACATCATCATCCTCATCCTCGTCATCGCCATACATAATCCGCCGGCCCCCTTGTGGGGCCACCAGGCTGTAGGCGCGAGGTTCGCAGTTTCCTGTACCAGTTGTGGCTTGTAGTTTCCAGTGTTACAGTTCTGCTTCTTGCTGGTTACTGTAACTAATTGACTTATTGCTGGTTACTGTAACTAGTTGATTGACCGCGCGAGGGGGGGGGAGGCCCAAACGGGAAATTTAGCACCCCCTGGGCGCGTTGTCTGAATTGCTGGGGGGGCTCGAAATCGACACCACTCACGCAGATCCGCGGGGTCAGGGTCCAAAAACACAGGGGATTTGCCACATTTCTGAAATTCGGTGCCACCCCTCACGCAGATCCGCGGGGTCAGGGTCCAAAAACACATGGGATTTGCCACATTTCTGAAATTCGGTGCCACCCCTCACGCAGATCCGCGGGGTCAGGGTCCAAAAACACATGGGATTTGCCACATTTCTGAAATTCGGTGCCACCCCTCACGCAGATCCGCGGGGTCAGGGTCCAAAAACACAGGGATTTGCCACATTTCTGAAATTCGGTGCCACCCCTCACGCAGATCCGCGGGGTCAGGGTCCAAAAACACAAGGGATTTGCCACATTTCTGAAATTCGGTGCCACCCCTCACGCAGATCCGCGGGGTCAGGGTCCAAAAACACATGGGATTTGCCACATTTCTGAAATTCGGTGCCACCCCTCACGCAGATCCGCGGGGTCAGGGTCCAAAAACACAGGGGATTTGCCACATTTCTGAAATTCGGTGCCACCCCTCACGCAGATCCGCGGGGTCAGGGTCCAAAAACACATGGGATTGCCACATTTCTGAATTCGGCGCCACCCCTTACGCAGATCCGCGGGGTCAGGGTCCAAAAACACATGGGATTTGCCACATCTCTGAAATTCGGTGCCACCCCTCACGCACATCCATCGCAAGGCGTGGTAACCCAAACTGCGAGAACTCCCTCGGCCCTTTAATCGCAAGGTGTGGTAACCAAGCCCGTAAACCATACACGTCTTACCAATCGCCAGGTGTGGTAACCCCTCTTGTGATCAGTTGGTTTTGCTGATTGCGAATCGGCTTCGCATGAAGTTTCGATACTGCTTCACGACAGCGCCAAGGCCTCATGACTTAGCTCTTCCATGGCCCATTCTCCGAGAGAGGGGGCCGGCGGCAGGGGGCGAAGCCCTTACGGATCATTGTCATTGTCATCGTCACCATCATCATGACAAGCACCATCATCGCCATCATCACTACCATCGTCATCATACCTATCATCCACCTCGAGATCATTACCATCAGAAACAGCAGCATCAACACCACCATCCACATCATCAGAAACCTCATTCTCGTCGTCACCATAATCATCAATACATCAATCGTAATGCTGCGTATGGTGATGATCGTGATGGTGATGATGACCGTATGCATCATTATCACAACCACCATCATCATGATAATCACCACCACAATGCCCATCTTCATCCCCATCATCACCAGCAGTACCTTCATAATCATAATCACCAAAGCCGTCGTAAACATCATCATCACCATGATCATCATCGTCGGCACCATCGTTGCCGTCATCAAAAACGCCATCATCGACACCAAAATCATGACAATGTGATGGCCACCATCAGAATCATCATCACCAGAAGCACCATCACAACACCGTCATCACCACCAACTCCGCCATCATCTTCATCATCCTCATCATCTTCATCCTCATTCTCCAACGCAGCCGAAAAGCTGACACTGCAGACAGTCAGGTAGAGTTGGTACGATTTGCGTGGACTGGACGCGTGACTGAACCTGGAAAATGGCGTACGGGCGCGAGCGCGCCCAGGTGCGCTCAGGAGCTCCCACAAGCTTGGCGAATGTGACGCCAACGACGACGGCGGCGGCGACGACGTCGGCGACGGCGGCTGCGGCGGCGAGAACGACGACGACGCTGGCGACGATGAAGTCCAGTGATCAGAACGCGCGACGGTCAAGACGTCGGAATCCCGAGGAGCCACTCCGTACAATCTTAGCAGGAACCCCCTGAGGAAGGTTCTAGCAAGAAAAACCGGAATAACATTTTAGAAGGCGCCTAGCCCCATGCAGGCGAGAACGACGGTCCAAACGTCGGGACCCAGAGGTGCAGCTCAGTAAAATTTTAGAAGGAACCGCCTGAGACACGTTCTTCGCAGGAGAAATCCAACAATCTTTTAGAAGGCGCATAGCACCGTGTTCTGAGTAAGTCGCCCTTGGATTCGATGGGTGCCCTACAATTCGTATTATACAAAGGTACTGCGGTAAGACAAGATACCTGCGAAACATGACTTTCCTAACACCCAGATCCGTGCAAAACCCTAAGAATTCGAGCGGGATCCGTCTAAGAAGCGCCGGATCCGCATAAGATCAATAGCGGATCCGTACATACCCGGATCCGTCCAAAAGGAGCCGCCTGAGGAAGGTTCTAGCAGCTAGCAAGAAATCCTCAATAACATGTTATAAAGCGCCTAGCCCCGTGCCCTGGCTAAGCCGTCCTCGGATCGATGGTTGCCCCTAAGCCGTAATTTGCATGGTTAGAGAAGACCCGTGCGAAACAATTGCATTCCCCACCACTCGGATCCGTCCCAAACCAAAGAATTCGCACAGGATCCGTCCAAGAAGCTCCGCGCCCGCAAAGGATCAATAGGATCCGTGCCCGGATCCGACGCCCGAGGAGTCGCTGTAACGCCCGAAACGTGACCCGCGTCACTGTCTGCGGGGGCCTCTGAATGCGTTTTCCGGCGCCCCACGCTGCGCCCATCGCCCGCGACCTGCCGCGAGACTCCTTTTCCAAAGACTGGCTGCGCCAACGGCCCCTGGCCTGGCTGGACCAACAGTCTGGCACTTTCGTGCGTTTTGAACCCTCGGGCCGAGTTCTGAAATCGTAACGACTTACCTGACCCTGTGCAACAGACAATCAAATAAAATTGGTACGATTTGCCTGGACTGGACGCGTGACTGAAACTGGAAAACGGCGCACGGGCGCGAGCGCACCCAGGTGCGCTCAGGAGCTCCCACAGGCTTGGCGAATGTGACGCCAACGACGACGGCGGCGGGGATCGCGACAGACCACGAGCGGGGTGGCGGCGGCGAAGGCGACGGCGACGGTGACGACGGCGACGTCGGCGACGTCGGCTGCGTCGGCGAGAACGACGACGCCGGCTGGCGGCGGCGAAGTCCAGTGATCAGAACGCGCGAGGGTCCAAACGTCGGAACCCCGAGGAGCCACTCCGTAAAATTTTAGAAGGAGCCGTCTGAGGAAAGTTCCAGCCAGAAAACCGGAATAAAAATCTAGAAGGCGCCTACCCCCGTGCCCTGGGTCGTCCTCGGATCGATAGCTGCCACTTCGTAATTTGCATGGATAGAAAAGATCCGTGCGAAACGCGTGAATTTCGCACCATTCGGAGCCGTCCAAAGCCATCGAATTCGCACAAGATCCGCCCAAGAAGCTCCGCGCCCACATAAGATCAATAGCGGATCCGTACATACCCGGATCCGTCCAAAAGGAGCCGCCTGAGGAAGGTTCTAGCAGCTAGCAAGAAATCCTCAATAACATGTAATAAAGCGCCTAGCCCCGTGCCCTGGCTAAGCCGTCCTCGGATCGATGGTTGCCCCTAAGCCGTAATTTGCATGGTTAGAGAAGACCCGTGCGAAACAATTGCATTCCCCACCACTCGGATCCGTCCCAAACCAAAGAATTCGCACAGGATCCGTTCAAGAAGCTCCGCGCCCGCAAAGGATCAATAGGATCCGTGCCCGGATCCGACGCCCGAGGAGTCGCTGTAACGCCCGAAACGTGACCCGCGTCACTGCCTGCGGGGGCCTCTGAATGCGTTTTCCGGCGCCCCACGCTGCGCCCATCGCCCGCGACCTGCCGCGAGACTCCTTTTCCAAAGACTGGCTGCGCCAACGGCCCCTGGCCTGGCTGGACCAACAGTCTGGCACCTTCGTGCGATTTGAACCCTCGGGCCGAGGTCTGAAATCGTACCAACTTTACCTGAGTGTCTGTAGGAGCCCCCATTGAGCAACGGAACGCCCCACCTGAGCGCCTAGATGCACGAGGAGCGCTAAAGGAGAACTGAGCAGGCACCTAAGGAACGCCGAGCCCATTACGAAACCAAAGCGGTCTCTACTTGGAAGGGTTGGGCTGCATCCTCCTCCCCCTGTGTCATTCCCTCCCCCCTCACACCTGGGGCAGGGTCGAGAGGGATCGAGGGAGAGTCTGGGAGAGGATGAGCATTGAGTATGGAGGACCCCCTGAAACGCGTCAAACACCTCCTGGACACTCCCCGGGCCCACCCCGCAGAGCTCTACCAAACACCAGATACACACAATCAAACCTTCCTCCTGCTCGTCAGCGAGGCTACGCCGCCCCACCAAAAAAAGGGAAGGTCAGCGCTACAAGCGGCGCCTGGTTGCACCCGTCCGTGCGCTGCGTGGGCACTCCGCACTGCGGGCACGGCTGCACCCCCGCCTCGCGCGGCTTGCAGCGCTTAGCTCTGGAACGGACAGATTGCACACATTCGAACAGGAGAGGGGTACAAACTCCACACGTCTTGAAACCATCAGGAAACTGGTTCTCTTTCTCACTCTCTCTCTCTCTCTATCTCTCTGAGCTTGTGTGCTCAGAAGCCTGGGGACCACTTTTCTACTTCTGGGGGATAGCGCATGTTACCGGGGGGGTGCGTGGGGGGGGTGTAACGGTAACTGGGGCCACGGCGCGCACCCCCTGAAGCGCGCCGCCTACGTCGTCGTCGTCGTCGTCGCCGTCGTCGTCGTCGCCGTCCAAGCCCACAGCGCCTGTGATTGCTAAACGTACCGCGAATTCTCGTGTACACTGTCTATAGAACACGAGTTCACCACACTGCCTGTGAGCACTACAAAAAATGCGTGCGCCACAACGGACTTGCACACTACAGGTGCTGCTGCAGCAGAGGTTTTTGCGTGTAGCACAGCGCCTGTGTACACTGCGGTGCTTGTGCACACCGCAGGAACCGCGTACACCACAGCGCATGGCAAACATTTGCGCCACAGCGCTTCCGTGCACCTCGAAGGTCCCGACGGCTCGCGAATTGTTGAAAATCCCCGGGAGCCCGAACGTATCAAGTTCAATATGTAAATAATTTGTGATTATTGATTTTTCTGGCCCGGGGTGCGGTACCCCCTCCGTTTTTGGCCGACCATGTTTGTGTACACCACAGCGCCTGCCTAGCGTGTGCCACGACGCCTCTGTACACCACAGCTGCGTGTGTACACCGCAATACCTGTCTAGACAACAGTGCCTGTGTACACCACGATGCCTGTGTACACGACATCACCCGTGTGCACCACAGCGCCTGTGTACACTGCGGTGCTTGTGCACACCACAGGAACTGCGTACACCACAGCGCATGGCAAACATTTGCGCCACAGCGCTTCCGTGCACCTCCAAGGTCCCGCCAGCGCGCGAAATGTAGAAAATCCCCGGGAGCCCGGACGTACCAAATTCAATATGTCGGAGGTTGGGGGGTGAGATCGCAGGGGAGCGGAGACCCCCAACCGGGAAATCGTTTTGTTTCGTTTGTGTCGTGCGTGCGGGCGAGGAGAAGCTGCGTAGGCGCGCGAGAGGAATGAACCCGCCGTTGCTAGGGCGACATCATGACAAATCATTTTCCCCCGCCCGTCCGTCCGGCGGCGGCTCGCGGTGTCCCGCGGTGTCCCGTGGTGTCCGCCGTTGCTAGGGCAAAGACAAAACAAATGATTCTCCCACACCCACCCGTCCGTCCGTCCGTCCGGCGGTGGCTCGCGGTGTCCCGCGGTGTCCCGTGGTGTCCCGCGGTGTTCCGTGGTGTCCCGTTGAATGAGATCGATAGTGAAGTCGAGAGTGAAATCGATATTGAGGTCCATAGTGAGATCGATACTGAAATTCATGTGGTGCCCCGAGGTGTCCCGTGGTGTGCCAAAAAGTGGGATCGATAGTGAGATCGATAGTGAGATCGACAGGTGTCCCGTGGTGTCCCGTGGTGTCCCGTTGAGTGAGATCGATAGTGAGATCGATAATGACATCCATAGTGAGACCCGTAGTGAGATCGAGAGGTGCCCCGATGTGTCCCGTAATGTCTCCAAAAAGGAGATCGTTAGTGAGATCGATAGTGGGATCGACAGGTGTCCCGTGGTATCCCGTGGTGTCCCGTTGAGTGAGATCGATAGTTCGTGAGATCCATAGTACGATCGATAGTGAAATCGATGTGGTGTCCCGAGGTGTCCCGTGGTGCCCCGTGGAGTCCTATGGTGTCTCGTTGAGTCAGATCGATAATGAGATCGATGGTGAAACCGATAATGAGATCGAGAGGTGTCCCGCGGTGTCCCGCGGTGGCCCGTAGACTGACATCGATAATGAGATCGATAATGATCGACAAGGGTCCCGTGGTGTCCCGAGGTGTCCCGTTGAGTGAGATCGATAATGATATCAATTGAATCAAATGTTGGTTCCCCCCTTCCCCCCCCACAACCTCCTTATCACCCGAAAGGTGGTCGTATAGGTAAGTGATTTGTGATTATTAATGTTTCCGGCCTGGGATGCATACCCCCGGTTTTGGCCGACCATGTTTGTGTACACCACAACGCGTGTCCAGCGGACGCCACGACGCCTTTGCACACCACAGCTGCTTGTGTACACCGCAGTACACCATAGCGAATGTGTGCACAGCAACGGATGTGTACACCGCAGCGCTCGCGTACACCACAAGGTGTGGTATACCGCACCGACAATGCACCACAGCGTTTCTGTACACCACCATGCCTGGGATGCCTGCGTGTATGGAAACTGACGTTGCAGCAACTGTTGTACACACCACAAAGACTGTCTTTACCATACTGCCTGGGTGCATCACGATGCCCCCACTGCACCGCGCGACCTGCGTGCACCAATGCTTGCGTGCACCGCAACGCCTGCATACACAACACATTCTGCTGCAACAGAAGCAAATGCACGCACCAAATCGCATCGCTGCCTGTGCACAACGCAATGCCTGTCTGTGTACGCGCTGCTCACGTGCACGTCCAGATGCCTATGGACGACGTCGGTCGTCGTCGGTCGTCGGTGTCGTCGTCGTCGTCGTTCGTCGTCCTCTATCGTCGTCTGTCATCTGTCGTCTGTCGTCGTCGTCTCCCCGTGCCACTCCAAGCCCCAACGTTTCGCCAACGTGCATCCAAACACCAGCATGCTGTGGCGAACACCACCGCACCGTTGAACACAGCGTTCCCTGCAAACTCCCTGCGCCCGCCCCCCGGACCTGCACAACCGGCTAGATTCGGTTATCCTGGGGTAGGTGGGGTAGGGGGGGGGGGGGCGCGAACCCGATAACCCGGATTGTCGCCGGACCCTAACAAAACAGTCTCCTGCGCGCACCGTAGTGCACGCCCGCATGCACAACAAACCCTAAGCTGCCCCGGATCGCGCGTTGGATCGGGGCCGGTGCATTACCGCTACAGGGGGGGGGAAGGGGGTAACATGCGTTATCCCTTGGGTGGATAAAAGAATGCGTTGTCCCTTGGGTGGAGAAAAGCATGGCCCGCGGCGCAAAATCATAAGGAAAGATGGGGCCGGGAACGCCAGGGCCCGACGCACACGCGGGTCGGAAGAAGTGGGTAGAAACATGAAGTAGGAGAGCGTCGGGAGTAGATTGGGTTCTCGCCCGCCCCCTGAAGAGGAGGGAATCATGAAACCTGTCGATCCTTGAATTAGGAAGGCGCCAAAAGTAGACTTCAAAAATACAAACTTCCAACGACCTTTCAAAATACAAAAATTAGGGGATCTGGGAATCCAAAGATACAAGCTTTCAACGACCGGCGTGCATCGAACCAACAACAGGCGTCGGAGGCCCAGGTTCGAGCCAGACAGAGAGTAACGGTGCGAAGCCTCGCGACGAGAAAGAAACTACAACACGCTGTTGCTTACCAGCCTCGAACTTATCCCTATCCCTAAGATTGACACGCCAAAAGGCGATGACAATCATGCACCCTCAAAAAATAAGGGAATCCCTAAGATTGGCATCGTGATGAAGAGATGCCCAGCATAGGGATAGGGATATGCTCCAGGCTGGTAAGAGTAACTGTGCGAAGCCTCGCAGCGAGAATAGAGCTGCAACACGCTGTTGCGGTATCGGCCTTCCGCCCGAGTTCGCATGCCTGTCCAGAACCACCCTGGGCCCATGAGGTTGAGATTGTCGTGAGGAAAAACCTAAAGGCCTCGCGCGGCAACTTGAGACCCGATTTACGTCGGAATCACGCCGGACTTACGTGGGGTTCACGTCGGACTACGTCGGAATTGCGTGAGATTTACGTCGGACTGACGCCCGAGCATCGCCGCGCGAACGTCGACCAACAGCTTACGGAACTGACGTGTGGACTAGACAATGCCACCAATGCGGGCCGCGCGGGGCCTCCGGGATTTTCCTTACAAAGGTAGCGCCTGCGAGCCATGGCGTGGCCACGAAGCTACGGTACGCCACGCCCGATCTGCAGAGTGGCCGTGCCCTGCACAATGCCACGGGACGGAGACACACGTGGAAGGCCACTCGCAGTAGAGCAGCAGCAGCAGACGATCAGTCCTGCCACCGAGCCTGCACCAAAGTGTCGGCCGTGCTGCGTCTCGCAAGGCCAGCGAGAGGCAGCGAGTTCAGGAGGGCGGGGGGAGGGAGCGATGGGGGGGGAGGGAGGGAGCGAGGAAGGGGAGGAGGCCAGGAGGAAGGAGAGGAAGGAGAAGGAGGAAGAAGGAAGAGAGAGAGGGCCAGGAGGAAGGAGGAAAGAGAGGAGGAAGGAGGACAGGAAGCAGAGGAGGGCCAGGAGGAAGGAGGGGAGGGCCAGGCGGAAGGAGAGGAAGGAGGAGGGCGAGGGAGCGATGGGGGCAGGGAGGAAGGAATGGGATGGCAGAGAAAGGGATCGAAGGAAGGGAGGGAGGGAAGGGAGGTCCTGGGCTGTCGGCGGACCTGCCCAACCAAACTTGGCGACAGCGAGCGGACTGCGCCCCCGAAGTCCCATCCATGGCATCGCCCGCCGATATCCCGAACAAGCGCCTGACCTTGCGGAACATATACCCACAACGTCCGCCCGAGGGGAAGTGTGACGAACAGAGCCCTCCTGCCCCTCCTCCCCTTCCTCCTGTGGCCCATCCTCCTCGTTCACCTCCCCTTCCCGCCCTCTCGTCCTCACCCGCGTCCTCCCCCTTCAAGTGGTTGGCTGACGTCCCAGGGCATTATGTCAGCCCTCCTTCCCGAACAAATGTCACCCTCCTCCAATTATGTGCCAGCAGATCGCAAGATTATGACTTTTGCTTGGTATGTGAGATTGTTCTACCATTGTCATTGGGTATATCTCTTCAGTCGGCTGGGTCATCATCGAGTCCGCCATGGCTTAAGATTAGACATACATATCTACCTATACCTATACGACCACCCTTCGGGTGATAAGGAGATTGTGTGGGCGGGGAGAAGGGGGGGAACCAACATCTGACTCAATCGATCTCACTATCGATCTCACTCAACGGGACACCACCGGACACCACGGATTACCACGGGGCACTTGTCGATCTCACTATCGATCTCACTCAACGGGACACCACGGGGCACCACGGAACACCACGGGACACCGCGGGACACCGCGGGACACCTGTCGATCTCACTATCGGCCTCACTATCGATCTCACTATCGATCTGACTCGACGGGACACCAGAGGACACCACGGGACACCACGGGACACCTCGGGACACCACATCGATCTAACTATCGATGTCACTCAACGGGACACCACGGGACACCACAGGACACCTGTCGATCTCACGATCGATCTCACTCAACGGGACACCACGGGACACCTCGGGGCATCACATCGATCTCAGTAGCGATCTCACTATCGACCTCACTATCGATCTGACTCAACGGGACACCATAGGACACCACGGGACACCACGGGACACTTGTCGATCTCACTATCGATCTCACTCAATGGAACACCACAGGACATCACGGGCCACCACGGGACACCCGGGGACACCGCGGGACGCCGCTAGGGCCACCGCCGGACGGAGGAGAATCATGTGTCTTGACTTTGTCCTAGCAACGGCGGTCATCACGGGACACCACGGACACCACGGGACACCGCGGGACACCGCTAGGGCCACCGCCGGACGGACGGAGGAGAATCATGTGTCTTGTGTGCCGACGACCAGCAGCAATATCCGATGACGACGGCGGCGGCGGCTGGAGACGGCGAAGATAGAGCCAGTTTCGCCCGCTACGTCGCACGATTTTCCTGTTAATGGTGAATCAGCGAGCATATATCAACCCCTATTAGTGCGGATCGTTCTCGATCAATACCAATATCCTTCACGTGTTGGCATCTCCTCTCCCATTTCCGCCAGCGGTGCTCGAAATAACTAAGTCAGCCCTACCCGAAGCAATCTAACCTTGTGGGTCCTCGTTCGGCATGTGAATCACAGGAACGTCGGTGCGAAACAGAAAGCAAAAGTGATTATTTCGGCGCGGCTGATTTGCCAAGTCATGATCATGAATTGGTCCAGAGCTTTCGGCTGATAGCCAGGTATTTGCCAGAGGATCAAAAGATTCTGACATTATGATTGGCATGTCAGGTTGTTCTGCCATTGTCATTGGGTATACCTGTTCTGTAGGCTGTATCATCATCGAGTCCAGCATGGCTTAATTGTGTATATATAGATATCATAATATCTGTATATCGTTAAACGGAAGCGCACATATAGATACGGTAAAGGAGGGGTCCGGCCGGCCAGCGACGACAGACGACGGTAGCGCGCTCCTTTTGTGCACCTACCTGCAGCTTGGTACGGATGCGGAATGTCCGACGAACAACAACAATATCCGATAACAACGACGGCGGCGGCAGTAGACGGCGAGGATGGAGTCATATCAACTCCTCCTGATTCTCGGCTTTCGGCCTCGGCCAATTCCTCGTCACCCCCTCCTCATTTTTCTCCTCCCATTCCTTCTCCCCCGCCTCGTTCCTGCTTCTTTTCCTCTTCCTCCTCCCCTTCCTTTTCTGAATTCGTCCCTGCTTGACGGAAAACAAAAAAACGTCTGCTTAAGAAACCGGGCTCCATCCCGACAGCCTCCGCAAACTGCAGACCAAGCCCAGCTTCACAGACTAGAACACCATACAAGAACAAAGTGACAGCGGCGAGCTTTCATGGGAACTCGAGCAATCAACTGAAACCGAATGGAATTGTTCCGGAAGGATCTCCCGTGGGTAGTTACGTTAGTTTGGTCCAGGCTCCTCAGCCTATGCAAATGGTACCTGTTCTAATCATGTTTTTCCTCCTCCTCCTCCCTCCTTCCTCCCTTCCTCCCTCCACCTGCTTCTCCTCCCCCCTCCCCCTACTCCTGCAACTCCTCCAACTCGTCCTCGTCCTGCTCCCTCCTCCTACTCTTCCTCGTCTTCGCCCGTTTTCTCTTCGTCAAGCGCGGACCCCAAGTAGGTGGCTTCTGTAGTCTGTCTGTTGTGGGGCACCCCTGCTTGGAGGCGGCCACAGGGTCTGAGCTGCACGGGCCAAGAGACTTCCTGTCAAAACGACAGATACGGGCAAATGCGCTCACAATTGGTACCCAGATCCCCCCATCTGGTGTAACATTCCACCACGGATCTGTTTTTGAAGGTTCCTAGGGCCGAAGGCGGCCCGGAGATACCGAAGAAGGAAAAAACCTGCTGGAACCCAGAACCTCGGGCATCCCACACCCTCCTTGCTGGCCAAAACGAATGCGGAACCAGGCCACCTCGGACCCTTCGCCAGCCCCAATCTGCCATCGTTCGGACGTCCCTTCCCCGTGCGTGTCTCGGCTTCGGATGCTTATCCTTCGCAAGGTGATCGATCCAGAATGCTCCGGGCCCCCAGCCGGCTGTCGGTCGGGTGGCCCAGGGGAGGGGGCCAAGCGAATTCCGATGGGGCGTTGCTTGATGGGGCGGCTCGGCGGCGAGCCCGGGGGGAACCTCCAGGAGGCCAAAAACCACTGATCCCCCCTGGATCTTCCAATGGCCCTGGCCTCCGACGCTCCGAGACGGCCCCATGGGCGAGATGCTCCTCGACTGTGCTCTCCGGGACGCAGCGCACACGCCCGAGCGATGCCGAGCCAGGCCCCCTGCCGTCTATCCTCGGCCGCTCCCGCCGCCGGGCCCCCGAGGCGTGCCGCCGGGCCTCGCTGCCGATGAAGCGCCGCTGCTGCTGCTCGCAGGAGAGCCTGCGGGGGCGCAGGCCGTGCGCGGAAGAGCGCTGTGCACGGGGACTCCCGGATGGGGTCCGAGCAGACGGGGTCGGAGGATCGCGCCGCATCGCCGGCGCATCGCCGAAGCGTCGGCGGCTCATCGACGACGCGTCGGCGGTGCATCGGCGACGTCGGCGGTGCATCGGCGGTGTGGCGCGATCCTCCGACCCCATCGACTCGGACCCCACCTGGGAGGCCTGGACCTATCGCTGAGGGCTTACCGACTGCTGCCGTCCCTCGACTCGCACTGGAGCACGATCTGTGCCAGATGTCCATGGAGATCTCTGGATCTGCCTGTGTGTGCATGAATTTGCCTGGATGGTTCCATCCTTATCTGCATTTCTTTGAGCTCGACAATCCACCTCGAGTAGGCCCTCCACCACGAACTCCATGAGCAACGCGCCGACCACCAGGATGAGCACGAAGGCAATGAAGATGAGCGGCAAAGCCCGCGCCGAGGCCGATGCCGTCGAAGTAATGACATACGAACCAAATTGACCACACCCAACGGCCAATTTTATCTGCATTTACCTTGACATATCCCGCTGGATTCCCACCAGTCGATTGGCCACGAGTCGTCAAGCCCTTTTAAAGACGCTGTGCAGGCGGCGCGGCCCTCGCCTCGTCGTCGTCCTCCTCCTAGGGCCGAGGGCTACTTTTCGGTCTGGCATGTCCCCCTACAGGCGCATTTTGGACGAAAAGAACACCCCCAAACTACTCAAACGTAGTCAAAACAACTAGAAGGACTGGTCCCCAAGTTTTAATATATATATATACACACATATAAAACATAGACATGTGTGCATATTCCTGTAGAGGGACAGGCCCAACTTAAGGCTACTTGTGAGGAACATCTTGGAGGCCTCGAGCGGCAGCCTGAGACCCCACCTTGCGTTGGACCCACGTCGGCTGCGCGGCGGGTTCTCGCCTCGCCGTCGTCCTCCTCCTGGGGCCGAGGGCTACTTGCGAGGAACCTCTTGGAGGCCTCGCGCGGCCACTGGAGACCCCACCTGGCGTTGGACCCACGTCGGATGTGCGGCGGGCTCGGCGCCGAGTTGCGTCAGAATTGCACGTCGGGTTCCCGTCGGCCTCGAATTCCAACACCGCCGCGCAGACGCGGTCCCATGTCTCACGGGCCAGAGGCGCGGACTACGTGATGCAAGTACAGCGGGGGCCAGTCCACAAGAAAGGTTCCACAAGAAACCCAACCCTGAGACCCCAGGGCGTCCATGGATGTTCGGTGGGAGCGTCACGCCGTCCACAGCAAAAGTATCGGCACCCAAGAAACCCAAGGCACCCTGGAGGCAAGCAGTGTGTTTCTTGGCATGGGCCCCCACTGTATACCGCGCCGCCTGAGGCCTGCAGTCTTTTTCCTCATGGCTCACGGCCAGAAGAGCGTGGCTCAAGACCACACAGGCCCCTTCGCCGAACGCCAAGGCCACACGAGGATGCCCTAAGCACAGCACCCTCGAAAATTGAAAACCCACGCGCTAAAAACATACAGTAACGGGTACCCCTGGCAGGCTGGGGGGAGGTTCGTTACCCTCGTGCCAGCTGCGGCACACGCCTGCCCCCTCCTGGGGGAACGACTGAGCCCCGCCATCTAGTCGGGAGGGGGGATGAGAAACCTCGCCTTCGCAGAATATGGTAAAACTGTTTGGCCGCACCGCTGTTCAACGCACGGCGCGGCCAGGGCGGCACACGAGGACGCGGAATCGCAGATCGATCACAGGAGGCGCTGGGAGGGGAGGAGGAGCAGGAGGAAAGGGAGCGGACGTCACCTTGGGGGCAACGTTGGTTACCCTCTACGCAGCGCACGGCCCTGCGCCGCCCACGAAACAGCGAGGCAACCTCTGGGAACGGCAGGCGGCGGTGACGGCTGCGGCGACGGCGACGGCGGCGGCGGCGGCGGAGGAGGAGGAGGAGGAGGAGGCGGACCAGTGTAAACCCTCCCTCCAAGCTCCCTTTTCATGAGCCCCTGCAGCGGTTCGTTTCCATTACAAGAACTGCTTCGTTGGAAGGCAACCGATTGAAGACTTTGAAGCATGCCAAAACATTATTCTCGGGATGTCCACGCCTTGGATCAACCTGACTGCTGCGCCCTGACGATCTGCAGTCGTGTCAGAACGCCATTTTTGGAACTCAAACACAACGAACCCTTCCAAAACAAAATTTCTGGTACGTTGGCCATGGGAAGCCGTGAAACTCTTGCAACTTATAAGGCGAAGATGCGCGGCGATAAGACGAGAACCACATTTTGAACACGACCCCGCCCTCAAGCCGTGAAGCTGTTGCATGCTTTGTTAACGAGTGCGCGCGGCGCTAAAGCAAAGAACCACATTTTGAAAACGACCCGCCCTCAATCCGTGAATGTCTGGCAACTGTTGTTTGAAAGAATGCGCGCAGCGCTAAGGTGGGAACCGCCTTTTGAAATCGACACGACCTCAATCCGTGAAGCTGTAGCAAACATAACACAGCGAATGTGCGCGGGCTAAAGCGACCACCACATTTTGAAACCGACCCGCCATCAATCCGTGAAGCCATTGCGAATATTTAACAACGAATGTGCGCGGCGCTGAGGCGAGAACCACATTTTGAAAACGACCCGCCCTCAATCCGTGCATGTCTTGCAACTGTTTTTAAAACGAATGTGCGCGGCGCTAAGGCGAGAGCCGCATTTTGAAAGCGACCCGCCCTCCTTCTGGGAAGCTGTTGCCATTCTTTAAGCTTCAGAATCATAAGCGGTTCAAAAACAGGCCTCGGGGCGCGACAGGGAGGCATCATATACAAGGACAAAAGAGTGAAGGAGGAGGAGGAGGAGATCGAACGAACGAATGACTCTGCCGAAGTGTGCCAGCGGGTCCTGCTGCGAGCTGGGAACTCCGAAACCGAAGCGTTAAAAGGGGTTTCCGCTCTGACTCACCTCTAGAGGGCGCAGTGACCAAAGGGTTCAAGTCACGCGTGGCACTCGGTGCACTCTGCTCCCGCGATCGCAAAGAGGAAAACAGGAACGAGCGCCCCTGGGGCGAAGTATCCCCATTAGCCCTGCGCCCGGGACTCGAGCGTGGCCGCCTCAGGGCCCACGGGGCGCCCTCGGGACGTCGCGGGGCAGGATACGCAGTCGACGGCGAGGTCGGCAATGAAGGCGCCCGCGAAGCCCAGCGTGAGCAGGGTTAAGTGAGACTTTTTAGAAGCTCATTCTCTCTCTCTCTCTCTCTTTTTTCTCTTTCTCTCTCTCTCTCTCTCTCTCTCTCTCCATATATATATATATTCACACATACTAGAACCACGCGCGCGCGCTTCGCGCGCACTTAGGTTCTGGTCACACTTGCGCCCACTCTTACCATTGGCAATGCCGCCACGGCTACGACTTCTTTTTGCGCCATCACCGCGTTCACGATCATGTCCGATTCCATGTCCATTCTGGGCATGACCACCTTTTCCACGACGATTGCACTTTCCGCGACCATTGTAACGGCCATGCGTTCAATCTCCGCCTGTACCACCACCAATACCACGACCATTGCCACTGCCACTGCCGCGACCACAACGACCACCATCATCACCACCACGGCCAGTGCCACCGCGTCTACCATATCATCAGTAGCACCACGATCGGCGCACGAACTGCAGTCATCTCCACCTGGGCCCCGTCCGGGGCTGTCCTGGGTGAGGAGAGAAAGGTCGGCACGCCCGCCCCGGGGTCGGGTTGCCACCATCCTTTTTTGGTGGGCCCGGGGCCGGTTCAGGGGAACTGATGGCCGAGAACGGCCTCAGGAAGCGAAGAGTTGCCCGGAAGCTTCGGGAGCAGCAGAAGTACCCGAGGGCGTCCGGTCAGAGGGTTGTGTGGGGCCTCTTGGGGGCCTCTCGGGGGTCTATTGGAGGGTTCCTGGAAGCCTGTAGGGGCTACTTGGGGGCCCCCTGGGGGCCTCTCGGGGCCGAGGGCCCGCACAGTCAATCGGATCCCCTGTCTTGGGCGGCTCTTGGGCCGTCTTGGGCGGCTCTTGGGCCGTCTTGGGGCTCCTTGGAGGCCTCCTGGGCAGTTTTGGGGCTGTCTTGGGCCGTCATGGGGTTCCTTTGGGGTTTTTTGGGGCCGTCTTGGAGCTCTCTTGGGGGCCTCGAAGGCCGTCTTGGAGCGTCGGAAACCCGGAAAAGCGATAAAGCAAAAAACAATGAAAAACCAATGAACATCAACGGTTTTGGCTTCGTCGGGCCATCTCGGAACGCCTCTCAGAAGTCTCTTGGAGCCGTTTGGAAGTCTATTGGGCCGTCTATTTGCCCTCTTGGGCCCATCTTTGGCCCTGTTGGGGCATCTGGGCCGTCCTGGAAGGGTTTTGGAGGTTCCCGGGGAGCTTTTGGGAGCGTCTTGGATCTCTCTGGGGCGGTCTGGCGTCTCCAGAAGCGTTTCGGGGCCATCTCAGGAGCGCCCTAGAGGCCACGTGCCCGCATGCGCTGTCGTGGTCGCGGCCCCGGGCCCCCGGCCTCGTGCACATACATGTGTATATATATATATATATATGCATATATGCATCTAGACACAAACTATGATTATATATACACGTTTATACACATATATATATAATATATTCCTCTTCCGATAATTTTACAAGCCCGGGCGGGGGGAAAAACCGCCCCCCCCCCAACAAAAAAAACCGGACTCCCGGGATCTGGGGACTTGGGACCGCTCGGGCGGGCCTCGAAGCGGTCCCCCGGGCCTCGCAGGGCGATTTGCCAAGCTTTCGCAGCACACCCAGGGCGATTAGGGGGGTCATCGGAGACGTCCCGGAGAATCCTAAGACAGCACAGGAGCGCTCCAAGAAGCCGTCATACCCGGAGATATCGTTCCCAAGCGCACCGAGAGGCCTCCAAAAGCACCCCCAAGAAGGCCCCAAGAGGGACAAATCATTGATTTAATGTAAGTTTTTGCTGAATGTGGGGTTTTCCTCTTTTCGGCTTCCCGACGCTCCAAGACAGTG